ATAAAATTAGTCTCACTTGTTATCACGTAAGAGAGTCAAATAGAAATCTAATTTTTCAACGTAAAGTCTCTGGAGGAGTCTCATATTCGTGTATATATATATAATATGATGAATTTTAAAATAGAAGAACGAAAAAAGTAGAAGCTTGTGTTATATTTTTAATTGTCATGGTAGAAATTTATTCCTTTTCCACGAGAGAATTGTTGACTAGACAAAGACAAAAGGGTTTGATTTTATTATGGTCCGATGCCGTGTTACTAACTTGAATACTATAGTATTCACCTTGAGGTGGAGCTAAATTCTCGAGAGAAGCTTCTGTAGTGTGTAATTTTAGGGTACCATGGCGCAAATGCAATATTAACTCAAGTTGTCACAAGCTTTGCTGCCTTCGCCATTAACATTAACCCAGGGGTACTTTGAGTGGAACCCATGTGAAATCGAGTAATTCATCTGATCAGCATTCAATACGCTCATTGATTATATAGATATACAGGCTCTCGTATCTGCAAACTTGGTCTGTCTTTTATTTCAAGCACATTATTCAAGAAAAAATCTAATCGATTTAGATCAAGAAAATGGCACTAATACAACACTTTTATTTCTCAAAAATTAAAGAGATAAATATGATATAAAATTGGAGCAAATTCACATTTCTCTAATTGGTAATTAGTGATATAGTATACAAGTTATGCTTTAGTAGAAATAATTTCTTTTACTAAATATTTCAAAGATATATCTTATTGCTTCAATAGTCATTTAATTGATAAGGTAGCGTGCACGCAAATATATTAATTAGGGATGTGCAAATGGTTTGAATTATTGTAAATGAAATTGGATGCTATTCAATCAAATTTTCGTCCTTACCGTCCTTACTCCATGATAATTCCAATGGAGCAAGTCAATTCCCAATAGTTTATAGACGTTTAAAATATTTAAAAAATTATTCTTGCACAATATTGCAAACATATAATTGAAAATATTTCACTAAATTTTAAACACACGAAACGTTTCACGCATTTATCTTCTATTATAATTAAACTTTTGGGCCACCCATATAGATTCATATAATCTTTGTCATGTACTGGCTATATAATTAGAAAAACAAATATCTCTTTCCAAGCAATTTTTCTTTACTATCTAATTATTTCTATTTGTTTTAGAATACCCCTGTCAATCTCTTAGTACCTAAAAAAAAGATAGCGATAGTTTAGTAATTTAATCTTCACGTATATATGCAAACTTATTTATTTGCAATTGAATTTAATGGACCTATTTTGCGGTTCAGTTATAATTACATTTTGATTGACATTGCGTAATTAATTAGATATTTGTAACACTTACGCTTCATCGATTACGTCAAAGCGCCTAGTTTGACATCAAATTCCCAGCTTTATTGTTTAAAAATATTTGAATTTAAAAATAATTTTAATTGTTAGTAACGATATATTTATTAAAAGTAATTTTTCCAAATGAAATGAAAGTGTTTAAAAAAAATTGACAGAGATCTGTTTGTTAATAAACATTGCGTGGTTCATGGTACGGAAGTTATCGTCAAATTCAAAGAAAGAAAACAAACGCGTGTTAACGAGACACATCAAAGCAGATTGAAGAGATTTCCTGCTGCCCTCTGAACGGGCCCCTTCTGCCGACCGGGACCAGAGGTTAATTTATCAAATTAAGTGTCGCAATCACGTAAGTCCGAATTACAAGCCTTTCTTTGGCATTGTATTCATTTATTCAGTCAGTTATTCTTTCGTAAACATGCCAACATTTTTTCTCCACTAATGTAACCCGTTCTTCATAAACATGAATTTTTAAATTAATTTACGTGAACGAAAAAATTTCTTCGTCATTTATTCGGTCAAAATAAAATTCATATTATTTAAATGCTAAAGTTTCAAAAATGTGAAAATGTAAGTGACACCATTTCATCTCCAAGTGCTAAAGCAACAATTCCAAGTAAAATTTTTGTCCCATGTTGATTTAGCTGCTCTTCTACCACGATGAACATTTATCATAGTTTTAAAAATCCTTCCCTAATTAGCTCTCTCAAAAATGTGCAAATTAAATATTTCATTAATTAAAAGTCTTTTTCAATTATTTCATTTGAAAATCAGTTGAAAACTAGTAATTACTAGTACCATCACTTAAGTACTAAATTATTATTAAAATAAATTCTTTTAAAATGTGGAGAACGTTGATGTGACCATTCGCTTTTACCTTACGTCTAATACTACCACGTCTGACCACAATTGGTTTATTCTACTTAATCTCCTGATTGGGAAAAAATACCTATTGTACATGAAAGTTACTGCAAGTCAAGAAATTTACACCAAGTTGACCAAAATGTTGAAAAATTCCTAAAAAAAAATAAAAAGAAGAAAACAAAATGAAAAATTTTACTAATGAGGAAGAAAATTTATTTGGAGAAAGTAGACTTCTAAAATGAGGATTCTTGAGATTTCTCCGGGTCAAAGGTAACATGAGAATTTGTTGTCATGGAAACCACACGATTCTGCTTTTGGTATGTACATATCAAATGAAATGTGCAAAAAATAAACTAAATTTAGCTTTTAAATTAAAAAAAAATGTTATTCAAATTTCAAATTTTTACCAAATAAGTAAATTTTTTATTTATATAGGTAATTTTTAAATGTATCTTATTATAATTATTTAGAAATTATAAATTATTAATAAAAACCAGGAATTTATGTAATAACCAGCCATAATAATTTAAATTTTCATTTTTTTAATTTATAAATATAATAATTTATTTTGTAAATGTATTTTATTTTTATTTTTTAATATTCAAATATAGTAATCGAAAGCTAATTTGAAAGCAAGCTTCTGATTTCCTGTCAATTATTTGCCACTTGCATTACCATTTTCGCGTTATAACACACTGCGTAGAATTCAAACAAGAATAATAAAATTCAAATGAAACTGCCTTCTATATAAATTACAAATATAATTCAGCACAAAAGGTTTATTATTTATATTATTTATTTGTGAAAAATGTACAATTTTTCTACCTGAACTCAAAAGACTGGAAGTAATTTTCTAAATATTTTCTCAGGAAACGAAAACTGTTCTTTGAAACTTTTGTGCCAAATAAGATACTCTTGAAAGTGCTTAAATGAATATTCACTTAGATCTCAAAAGCACACCTGCTTCAAAAACTAGAAGCTTTTCTAAGATCCATTAAACCTAGTTTGTATCTGGAGTAACTTGTTTGTAGCTAATTAATAGATAATCTCTAAATTATAAAATTAATGATTAAATTATTATTCATTAACCTCATTAATTTTGTTTAGTGCTGAAACTTGAAAGTAAAATAAGACAGTTATATAGAATATTTAGAAAATTTCTTGTGTTTTTCTTGAGTGTATAGTAGTCTGTAGGGGAATGTATCTGCCACTAACCGACGTTATTATTAAAAAAGAGACCTTTTGAAGCTCTAGGGAACATCATGTGTTCAATATTAGTTCCGAAAGAAAGTTTGGAAATTTCATTCTCAATATAACTTCACTTTGATAAAGCTTATAAGAATGTGACTCATCCTCGCAATTAGTAAAACTTTTCTTGTCAATTATTTTTATTACAAAAAAGTTTTGCCTTCTTTTATAACATAATGATGAGTATAGTATTAAGATAAGTAAAAATAATTAATTAGATTTTACAATCATAATAATTCAAAGTATAAAAATTACGTTTCCTACCATTTTAATATATTAATAAATTAATATGCGCATAAAGCGAATAAAAACTGAGAGAAAACGAAAATTCCTAGACTATACTTTTTTAATTATTTCTTATTTGATGTCAGCTTGCAACTTGGAAACTTTTTAACCAGAATAATAACTATATATTTAATAAGATTTAGAAAGTTTAAATTTAATTTAAAGTAGGAAGTTGATTACAAATTACTGGAGAATCGATCGAGACTGGATAAACCCTCAACCTGTCGATTTGCTAGCTTTACTTTCCTGCCCCATAAGAAGGTGGGAGTCGATCATGCAGAAATAAATTGCAAACAAAACGCTAAATGCTGAATGGGAAATAAACTCTTATTTTATAAATAAAACTTTGAGGTTAACGATCACTTCGAGTCAAAATGAAAATAATAAAAACAAAAGACGTTTTTTTGACATTTCGACAGCTGTCCTCTTCAGGAACTACAATTTATTACAATTTATTAGATAATAAAAATTAGCTAAATACATATTTGAATATTACTTAAATTTTAACGATTCATAATTATTTAGCGAAAGAAATATTGAAATTAAAATTGAAATAGTTCCACAAGGAACGTCTTCATCGTGGCTATTACATTTGGACCCTGGTAAAATATGTATATAATTTGCGAAGTACATCGTGAACACGTGGATGAGGTGAATGACCGTATCAGTAAACAAGAAACGAATAAGTGAATTGTCAAGGTAAAATAACAGATTAGATAAATGGAACTATGAATATTTCTTTTCATTTAGGAAATTGTTAAAAAATATTAAGATTTTGTATGTCATCTTTTTTATTAACAGAATTCAGAAAATTACAACTCTTATTTTATTTTTTTATTTTATTCTTTTTGTTAAATGGAAATTTTGAATGGTAGAATTTTAGATCTGGGTCCAAAGCTTAAAGAGCTTTCACTGTCATTTGTGAGTAGGGAAATTCAAGATCAGAGGCACTCGCAACAACGGTTAGTTGAATTGTTTAATAATCCTCAAGCAAACATGTAAAATAGAATAACTGAGTAAGCATACTAAAGCATAGAATTTTATATATTAAACTTCTTTATTTAAAAAAAACATATTTTATTAATTTAGTTAACAAAAATTTGTTAATTTTAAATTATTTGTTAAATTATATTACAATATTTTATTTTTGTTAACATTTTCAGAAATTTTTAGCCAAATGCTTCTATGTCGGTAATTTATTTCTGAAATTAATTATTTATTACCTCAGTAAAGATTTCGTAGCAAAGTAAGATTACTTACAATGGGTAATGAGCGCATCCATATTATAACTTTAACTTTGATCTTAAAGCGACTATAAAACATATATTTTCTCATTGAGAACAGTGAACTATGCATGTACCTGAAACAGAAAGTGAAATTTTCTATTGTAATTGTTACGAAATTGAATTACATTCGTATATTAAATGTAAATATAAAATTTATAAATCAAATATGGAAAGATACATTTACATTTGTAAGTTTTTAAATAATTTATTAAATAAAATAAAAGATGTTTCTAGACTATAATTTTACTCTTCATTTGTATATAATATGTATTTTCTTAAGAATAAGCAACTGACTAATTCTGTAAATTTATAAAAGTAATTTTAAACTTATAATGAAGTAGACGAAAGTTCTTAATACATATTTCGAATTTCAAATTCCATCAATACTTTTAAAAATATTTCTCCTACATTTTACAGTTTAAGTTTATATTCAGGTTTTTCCTATTAAAAAAAGTGTATCAGCAGAGAGTTTTATATTAATTAAAACAAGTTTTAATTAATGTTTATCTCTCTCTGAAAATGAAAATTCTTTATTAAATACATATTGCTAGATTAAATTGAAATAATAAATCACCAAAAACAAATGACCTTCTTAACACGATTCTATTTATACGCATTTATACATCATCGAATTTCCAATTAGTGAATTCGTCTCATATAACTTGGATCCTTAGCATAGGGTTTCTCCCCTGACAAACTATCATTGGAGCCAAGTTCTCCTCCGATATTCCACCGAGCTACAAGCTTAGGCGGAAGTGCATTGAAGGATTTCAATGCACTTGGAGGAATAACATGGCTAATTGAGTCATAAAGTCCTGTCCATTAATCTACCACAGACGCGTTTTATTCCTAAGCAATTGCAGATGACAATTATCAAGAACGATAATATCAACGTGGCACTGATGATCCTGCGTAATGAAGCAAAATTCATACCACCAAGCCTTTTGTGTTAATTTAAGCGTATTATGTTATAATTTTAACTATAATTATAGTTTCGCTAAAGCACTGTGAGAAAGGATTATATTATAATTATAAATGCGATATGTATTTAATATCCCCTGCAATTATAAAACACAAATTGTGCTTCGATTTACATTATTGAATAATAATATTATGTAAATAAGTAGTGCAAAAATTCATGAAAACATGAATAATATTTGATATTTGTTTGTCCATTTAATTATCAATATTAGCAATTCCTCTAAATGCATTTTATGAAATTAAATATATGTATATTCTCTCACACCGGTGCACAACTATAAAATATAAATTCTTCATGACAAAAGATTGAAAAACACTAAATTCGCACACATAAATCTGAAAGCAAATTTTAATTTCTAGATTAAAAAGGATTTGAGGGCTTAAGTGGCGCCGATGATATTCAGATGCGATGCGAGGCAGCATTCCCAAAGATTTCCTTTTTATTTCTAAATATACCAGTGTACGCGGGATTATTAATCGCCATCGTAATGTGCAGTCATAAATCCAGGACAATATACATCATTCATAATATTCCACCTACTCAACGAGAGATGCGCCGATGCAGTATCCACCATTATGTAGATTGTAAAACAGTGAGAGTTGGACACACTCTGATCGTAAGTAATAAGGCCTTTGTGGCTTCCTCTCTTTTATCCTTACTTGTTCTCTCTCTCTCTCTCTCTTCTTTTTTCTGAAACGCTTAGTCAATATGTACTTCCCCCAAGTGCTGAAAACCGCAATTTCATAAAATGGTTACGTCCGCATTTCCTTTTTTCGTCGGAAGCTTAAATCATGGCTATAGAAACACGAAAATGTATTTTTCATACACTATTATTTCATTACTCATTTGCAACAGTAAAAAACATTTGTCTGTGTATTTTTAATAATCATACATTGTTGCAATAACAAAACAAATCTACCGTAAAAATATTTTTAAATGTAGATTTTGTTTTGTAGTTATTCGCATGGTAAATGTACAAATACAAGTGCATTGAACGAAACGTCCGCGTTTATATGTTCCGGAGAAGGACACATAGTCTAGACAATTTGTTACTTCCTTATCACACGAGTGTGTCTCTCTCTCTCTCCCTCTCTCTCTTCTCTTTCTCTCGAATCTCTCACTGTCTTTCTCGTACAATTTACTATCGCAAGCATTGGCGTCAGCTTTGCATAGAAACTTCCACATGAAATTTTATATCATTTTTTTAAAAGTGTTATTCTTACAAATATATTTTTTAAGTCTAGGAATTTTTCATATAGTTTTATAAAAATTAGCTGCATCGAAATTTATTTTTGGCATACAAAAATAAGTTTCAGTTATTTACACAGATACAAGAAAATTTATTCCTTTGATTCAAGCAAATTTTTTATTGTGGACAGGACAAAGTTTTAAAAGACATGTTCAGGAAAGTTCAATGCATCATCATTCATCAATCTAGCTTCGGGAGCGAAGAGAATGAACGAAAAAATTAATCAAAATGTGTTACCAAACTCAATTTCAGAAGATAATTTTAATACGAAATATTTCATTCTAACAAAAGATTTTAATTCGAATATTAATGAAAATGTGTCTTAAAAAGAGAACTCGACAAAAGTGATGCTAAAACTTCATTAGAGTAAATTATATTAGGGAATTTTATAAACCTTGAAAAATCCTGCAAAATTCTGGAAAATAGTTGACTGAATTTATTGTGTTTATTCTTGAAATCTAATTTTACTTCAAGTAATTAAAAATTAATTCAATTTTAAAAGGAGTTGCGTTTACAATTTTCATAAATAGATGAACTTCAAAAAGTTTTAATTTGAAATTTTAGAAAATTTCAATTTTGAATAAATGAATTAAATAATAAACATTTCACAGGAATTCGATTATTTACAAATGTTTTATAAATTTAACCATTTCTTTAAAATTGTTTAATTTAAAAAAGGTTTGAATTTGAATGTTTTGAAAATTTTAGTTCTTATGAAAAAATAATAATGATTAAATATTTATTTAAAAAAGAAGCAATAGAACATTTTTCTAAGTGAAAATAATTTTTAATCTGAATGAGAATATTCTTTAAGTCAAGGAGAAGTAAGAATGTTGTCTTTTTATGAGCAAATGTAGTTTTAAAAACCGTTTTTTAACCTGGAAAACCTGGAAAAGTCAGGGAATTTGAGATGAGCAAAAGCGTGGCAACCCTGTTCTATTTTTAGAATTAATTTTTTGGTTAATGAATTTGAATTCTTTTGCATAAGGATAATATTGTTGAATGTTACCATACCAAAAATTTGGTGAATGAAAATACACATTGTAAGCGAACTAAACCGAGCGAAAGGCAGGAATGCCTGAGACACAATAAGATGGAATATGCGGTGATACATATTGTGCACAGAGAAGTCGATTGTGAACGAGCCCCATGGCGTTTGAGTCTGGATAATTCACCTCGAATGGACGGTTAAAAAAAGAGGAGAAAAAGAGAAATGAACTTTGTGTTCAACGACCACATCGAATCTCAAGAGGATTTTTACTTCCTGAAAGCCTCTCGGATCGGGAGTAGCTTTTCGTCCTTTAGTGTTACTCAATGGGAGAAAAATCATTTGGCTTTATTCTTCTACTCGATTTCCACCTTCAATAAAAAGAATTAACTTCCAAGAAAAAAGAAGATAAATGGCAAGCACGCCCTAACTCTACTGCCTCAATTCTCTAAAAATATGACGAATCAAATATTTATATACATGGTAAATCATTGTGCAGATTATCTAAAATTATTGAGTTAACAGAACTTGACAGTTTTCGGCGGATGGCGAATTGAGACAAAAGACGAATCAAAAGTATATAAAGTAACTTTTACTACTTTTATAGTAAAAAATTTCCGGTAAAGCATTTCTTGTAATTTTTACTACTTTTGGAGTAAATTTTATTACGTTCGAAGTACATATTTGTAAAAATTAGTAAAATTTACTCCAAAAGTAGTAAAAATAACCAGAAATGCTTTACCAAAAATTTTTTACTATAAAAGTAGTAAAAGTTACTTTATATTTTTCTCCGTGTAGAGTATGTATAATGAAAATTACTATTAAAATATTACCAGTACAGGTGGCCCATGAAAACATGTAACTAATTAATTGCATACTTGCGTTATTCCAGAATTATTGTTCTACAATCAAGTTTATAGTATATCCACATGCTCTTTATAGTACCAGAAATGTCAGTACAGCAATTTAACGTTTCAATTATTAAATAGAACTACATATGTCCAAGATTAGGATCTGAAATTTTAACAAGTACAACCGTAAATCATATATGAACGACATTATTTCAGATAATATGCGTTTCAACATTTTTTAATTTTAACTATAACCTGACGATATCTATTTTGCAAAAAAACAGGTGATAAACTTACCTATACAATAATTTTACCGTTTCACTGAAAGTTAATTAAAAAGTTCTGCAAACCAGTAAATTTAATTTTGCAGTTGAATGGAATAAAAATGGAAATTTTTTTGCCTACTAATTAAGTAACCTTATTAATTTAATAACACGCAGTCTTACTACACACGTTTTCCTGTTCGAGTATACTCACAAATTTTTTACATTTTCTGTCATAATTTATATTCCGACTAATCTTAACTGCAGATTTAACCACTAATACTTTAATAATTCAATTAAAAGAATTTAATTCTCTCTCTCTCTCTCTTCTTTATAATACGTACTTTTACCATATATGCTACATTTAATTAAATGCAATTAAATGAAATTAAAATTGTCAATTCTTTTGAATATTCTTTTAAACTTATTTTCACTAACTGAAGTAGAGAGTAAAACTTTACAAAAGAGACTTCCCTCAATGAATAATAAAGTAAATCTAATTGTTAGCAAACCAAGCAAAATGTATTTTAATTTAATGCTTTTAAAAGTAAAAAACATAGTAGTTCCGCGTTTAGTCTTCTATGAAACTTGAATTCTGAGTTGGACAACTTCTTTCCGCATTTTTTCATAAAAACGTGACCTAGTTCCGAACATCCTGCATTCATCCTCGACAAAGGTAGGTGGAGTCTGGGCGTAACATGTAACAACGTGATTTCTTGCGTTCAACATTAATAACATTGT